TAGTCCAGCTGATGCCTCCTCTAATCCCCAGGTGCCTTCCATGTGTAAATATGTGATGTATTAAATTGTATAATATTTATGAAATAATTACTAATGCTATAAGTAGTATGCCGATTTACCCATGTATCAAAGAAATTAGAAGACTCCATCTGCAGTGCTAAGTGAGTGACAGAAAACCCAATATTTACAATTTATAAATTATAATTTATGGACAACTAATTCATGTCCATTAACTTCCTGTGGTTAGAGGTGTGCCAGAATAGTCTGTTTGTGTTGTTAAATACATGTCCACTGTTCTGACACATGTCCTTCCAGGAAGAAGTATATTGAACATTGGTATAGTGTCCAGATATTATCATTATTCGGTAAACTTCTTTTCACTGGCTTCCAAGTACTTGCAATAAAATATTTTGCTTTCAGAAACAAGTATATGGTCAGATTAAGAAGACAATTAAAGAGAAATGAGAATGAGGACAAAGAAATTCAAGTTGCCACATATTCCTTCTGGGAAGTAAGTATATCTTCATGTGAACACAGTAGTTACATAAACACACACTATGCTGGTTATCCTTGTTCTTGTGGAGGAGCATATTATTTGAGCTTGTTCAAATAGCACTACATTTCTACATGGAGCCAAGAAGCTTTGTAACAGTGAATTATTTGTTTGTATTGTATTATGTTGGGAGACGATTTACACTTGCCTGAAGCATTTAGAACACTGCTAGTTGCATACTGCACCCCTGATCATGTTAGGGCCCTTGAAAGAGTCCTGATCATAATGGTGGAGTCAAAGATTTCTGTTCAGTGCCTAGCCAGAATCTGGCATGCACAGAGTATGTGCTAGGACAGTTCTTCCTCCTGGCCACATTTCCTGCATGTGGTGCTTTCTGAGAGACCCCTAGTATGTAGGTGCCACTGCAGTGTATCAGTATAGTGGCCAGTCAGCAGTGTTCCCTCTCTGAAGTTGTTGTATCCCTGGACACTTTATCAGAAGGCCTTATTGCCAGCAGGGGAAGGTCAAGGGACCTATCTAATGTCGTCCCTGGATGTGTCTTACCTGGTCTGTAGTGGTACCAGATGGTTCCTAAAAATCCATAGGAACCACTCTGTAGTTCCTTTGACTAATTATAGTCAGGGAAAACTGCACTCCTACAGAACCCTTCATGTGAGGGGAAGGCTTGATACAATGGCAGAGCACCTTGTATCCCAAGTGCACACCGCTTCCTCAGTGCCACTCAGGCATGGACACCAAGGCCCTCAGTCAGTGACTGGTGCCAGCTTACTTCCAGCAGGAGCCAAGCAGGGTGACTTTCTTCCTGTATCCAGGGTTTGCAGGTTCAAACCCAGCTGAGATCAGTGGATTTTTATGGGTCATAAATATTTGAGACATGACTTCCACTTGAAGAGAAATAAAGCTGGGGGTTCCATGTCATATTTACAGCACGTAAAACAACCTTTTGCTCCTTATAAGTGATGAGCGAAGGCAAAATTTAATGCCTTTTTTTTGTCACCCACAAAGCTCCCTACTCTGCTTCTAGATGTTGCTGTTTCTGCTTGACTGCAGAGAAGAGTGGGAACAAGTTGAAATCACCTCACCCAACTGTAGTATGGTGGATAACTGGGTAATGCTTGTTGCCCAAGTGGTGTCCAAATAGAAAATGAGTTACAGATGTGCCAACCAGTCGAGGTTAAAGGCATGAATGATTTAATTGTCAGAGTGCAGCATTAGAAAGCAACCAACCAGTTTTGTTTAGAACTTTGTTAGTTAACTAAGATGGTTTTTGTTGGATAGTTGTCTGTTATTTAGCAGAAGAGAAATCTTGTTTCCCTCACGGAAAACAAAAATCAAATGGGAGTTCTATTAGTTTCTGCCATACAGAATGTGAAGCAAACAAATGGAAATAGTTTGTCACTTTTTCAAACCAGCTCACAATTGGACCATACCCAAGGAAATTGAATCCAGCTCTTCCATTCTGTTTATCTAAGCTCCATTTTAATATTATTCTATTCTTTTTGCTGAGCATTACCTGAATTCGGTAAACATTTCTCATTTTCCTTGTGTGTTACTCCTATCCCATTTTGATTAAATTATCTAAACAGTGGCAGGCAAATTTCTAAAGTATAAAATCTCTCATTATGTAATTTTCTCTGGTTTATTATTTCATAATCATCTTTCCTTTCCCCTGTACATCTGCATAGGTCATGCCACTTCACCACGATTCTCTCAACTCATTACTCATAATCATAATCTCTATTATTAATCACTCACTCACTAGTGGAGCTGAGCCCTTCTTGAGGAGAAGCCAAATCTGCAGCTACTCAAGAATTTCCCAGCATTTTATGGAACCCGAACGATCATAACATGTTCACAAGAGCCCTCCACTGGTCCCTATCCTGAGCCAGATAAACCTAATCCATACCAACCCATCCTATTTCTCTAAGATGCAATTTAATATTGTCCACCCACCTACACCTTGGTCTTCCCAGCGGTCTCTTACCTTCTGGCTTTCCCACCAAGATCCTATATGCATTCCTCTTCTACCCCATTTGTGCTATATGCCCTGGCCATCTCATCCTCCTGGACTTGATCACTCTAATTATACTTGGTGAAGAGTACAAGTTATGAAGCTCCTCATTATGTAGTTTTCTCTGTTATTAATAAAGACACAAAATTTCTTATTATGTGGTTTTTAATGTTTTATTTCTGATGTTAACATTATAATTGTGAAAAGTTTTATTGCTGAAACTAAGAAGCAAAGAATTACAGTTATCTAACATTTGATTTTGACATTAACTTGTAAAATTGTGAAGCTTGAGTAATGACTCCATTCAAATAACAGTTATGATGATAAATATCACAATACATTTCGTAGAGCTTCCATAATAGATCCATTGTGGAATTATTAAAGGAAGAAACAGATATTATAGCATATTGATAATAATCAGTACACACATGCAGCATTGTTCAGTGAGAGTTTTTGCAAGTGTGTACTCTGGCGAAGGGTTGAACGCTCCTCCCATCTTGTCAGGCTGATTCATAACGCACAAGTTTGTCTCACGGAAACACTGTCTAAAAGATTTACGGTATATACGGCTGATCACCTGATGATGGCTTGTTTTGTAAGTCAGAAAAAATGTAATGTTAGTAAAATTCATTTTCTAAGTTGTACAGATAGATACGTTGTGTGTTCAAGTTCTAAGGTCTCCGATTTTTTTTCTCACACAATACTCATTAAAAAAAATTTGAAACTTCTGCCACTTTTCAACGTAATCTCCCTGCAGCCATATACATTTTTCACAACGTCGACGCCATGATTCCATGGCCACTGCGAACGCTTCTGTAGGAGTCTGTTTTGACCACTGGAAAATCACTGATGCAATAGTGACACGACTGGTGAATGTGCGACCACGCAGAGTGTCTTTCATCATTGGGAAAAGCCAAAAATCGCTAGGAGCCAGGTCAGGTGAGTAGGGAGCATGAGAAACGACTTCAAGGTTGTTTTCATGTAGAAACTGCTGCGTCGCATACACCCGATGTGCTGGTGCATTGTCCTGGTGAAACAGCACGCTTGCAGCCTTTTCCGGCCATTTTTGTCGCAGTGCTGGAAGGAGCTTGTTCTTCAAAACATCTTGGTAGGATGCACCTGTCACTGTAGTGCCCTTTGGAATGCAATGAGTAAGGATTACACCAACGCTGTCCCAGAACATGGCCACCATCATTTTTCAGCACTGCCACTTACCCAAAATTTTTTTGGTGGTGGTGAGTCTGTGGGCTTCCATTGAGCTGACTGGCGCTTTGTTTCAGGATTGAAAAACGGCATCCATATCTCATCCATTGTCACAATTGATGAAAACAAAGTCCCATTCATGCCTTCATCACGCGTCAACAACGCCTGGCAAATTGCCATGCACGCAGCCTTGTGGTCGTCCGCCAGCATTCATGGCACCGACCTGGAGGACACTTTCCGCATTCGCAGGTCTTCATGCAGGATTGTGTGCACAGATCCCACAGAAATGCCAACTTTGGAGGCGATGTTTTCCACACTCAATCGGCGATCCTCCAAAACAACTTTCTCAACTCGCTCGACCATGTTGTCAGACCAGCTGGTGCAAGGCCGAGATTGTTTTGGTTCGTTGTCACACGACGTTCGGCATTCTTTGAACTGTCACACACACGAACGCACATTTTTCACATTCATGACACCATCATCACATGTCTCACTCAACTGGCGATGAATTTCAATTGGTGTCGCGCCACGCAAGTGGAGAAAACGAATGATTACTCGCTGTTCTTGTAACGAAAAGGTCGCCATTTTAAGTATCAAAAACACTCCTCACACTCGCCGCCACCACTAGAGTTCTATGTGCTGTACAGTGCTGCCATCTCTGTCACGCATTCACAAAGAGTACACACGTATTTTAAACTAAACCGCATATGTCTATCTGCTCCCAGTTCTGAGAAAAAAAAATCAGAGACCTTAGAACTTGAATGCCCCTCGTACTTCTGGGAATGAAAATAGGTAAGAAGAAAATATTTCAGTATACTAAGTTTTTCTCTCATATGGTTAAGGAACATATACTTCACTGTTCTAAGTTGAAAGAAGATTCTTTGCAGTACTTTGTTTGTGTTACAGAGATGTAGCTGGTTTGTTGGAGCAGAAAGTTATTGTGGTATCCGTTTTTGGAAAGTCACCGTATTCTGCAGGGGGTTGCAAGGCTGGTTTAATTGATGGATTTCCAGGTCACCGGGTCTTTCACACATCACTGATAGATGATCCTGATGTCGATCAAGACCTCCTGGTGAGAAATATAATTGTAATTTTCAGTACAAATAAGCTCCTTGTGTTCCATGCTGTTCCTTATTTCAGTGCCTTTTCATTTGCAAAGTGTTCCATACTCCTCCAAATTTCAGCATAATTTACTCTACCAGCTGTTCTGTACTGTTCCTTATTTCAATGCCCATTCCTCTCATTTTAATTTGACTGGATCAGTGGATAAAAGAGGAAGAACAGTAAATGAAATATATGTGAATGATCTGGGAAATGGCAGTAATTTATGAGGAAGTTATTGAATTATCTCTACACATGACGAAGGCTGCACCATGGCTCAGGCAATTAACAGATCTTCATTAACACTAAGGTTCAGTCTGTATGGGATTTGTGGTAGACAAAGAGGTAGTGGGATAGGTGTTTATTTGAGCACTTCGGTTTCCCTGGTCAGTTATAATTCCACCTGTGCTGCGTACGCGGGTGTCGTCAGGGACTGGTATGATAGACCCAGGATTCAGTGTCACCCCTCTCCTGAAACTGATACGGTTTGTCACATAATACTATCATGTGTATGTTCACGGGCCGTTGCCTAGTATCGGCTGATGTCTAGTTGTTTTTTTGTAGTCGTTGCCTAGCAGTGGGTCTACATGCCACATTACTGATAAGGCTATACAGGTAAGCAGGCCACACTTGAGTCTCATAGAAGCATATGAAAAGATCCTAATTGAAACAAGGATATTGTTATGTATAATAGCCGTAGGGAAACTGGAAATCAGTTCAGATTAGTATTAATTGGTTTTGTATATGCAAGGATNTAAAGGGTTAGAGCATGAATCCGGTTTCTTTATTGCCACACCTTGTATGTGTTATTTTCATGCATTGACACNTGAAATTTTGCATACTGCAACATTAGAAGTAACAATATTGTAAATATGTGTTATTTTCATGCATTGACATTGTTCTATTGTCTGGTCTGTTTGTAGTGTGATATTGAAGGATACCATGACCCTAAGCAGCGGGTTATTTACCTTCACCTGCGGGGAGTGTTTGATGTTCACACACTGGTTAAATCTTATGACCTTTTCTCCAAGGAGTTGGAAGAAAAAGTAAGATATTAATTTGGGTAATTTCTGTAAGTGATGTGGATTCCAGAGCATTGCACTTGTATTATCTTGAATCTGTACTCTGCAGGGCTACTTGTCAGTATGGGCAGACATGAAGTATCGTTATGCTCGTGCACTTATGTTCCTGTTCAGTGTATCACATATACTAATAATATCTCATCCAACTCACATATTTGATATCAGCTATGTGCATCTCTTTCGAGCGCTTGATGTCATGAGGTGAGTGTTCTTGTCTATACTTGGCCATCACACTAAACAAATCAATTAGTAATTAAAGTAATATTGAAGAGTTTATCTTCTGGGACATGATGTCATGTAGTCTGTTGAAAGTCAACCCACATTTCAGAGGAACATATTACCTCCATTCTAATGGTTGGAGTATAAAACCAAGCAAGAAGCTAGTATGAAGCAGGTAGCAGACAGAGATGCTATTTGCTTCATGCCGGTTTCTTGCTTGTCTTATTCTTCAATTGGGAAGCTGAAGACAACATGTTTCATCGAAACGTCAGTTGACTTTTAACAGATTACATGGCATTATATCCCAGAAGATAGAACTATTTTTAACCACTGCTGTGAGAACCACAAATCGTACATAAATTATTGCTAATTTATAAAAAATTTGAAGTTTCCTCATTGTTGAGCATTCATGCTATGGTGATCTAAGTTATGGTAGTGTACAGACTAGTAGGCATGTACCTACGTTTGCTAGGAACATACTGTGACATGTCTAACCGTTGCTGGGCAATGCTGCTGCAACATCGGCTCAGCTCAACACGGACAAACACCGCTTTCCTTACTGTTGCGTAACCTCATTTCCACTATTGTGTAACTTGGCAACCGACCGTTTCTCAAGGGTCTGTCTTCGTGGTAACTCATTCCACCTCCCGTTGCCCAGCAGCGGTTAGACATGTCACAATACTTATTCCATCTTCTACCCTGCAGGTGGCACCTACATTCTGTCTAAGCAAGATGACCCCAGTATTGGTGTTGACATCATTTGTGATACTTGAAATTGCACTATGCTTAATTAATTTCATGCACTGTTGCTTAACCCCCTGTATTCTAATGACATATAAATTTCTGCAGTTGTGCATGCAGATTAATTATGAATGGTTTAATCAGGATGTGAAGGGAGGGTGTACAGCCTGTTTGTACTGCCCCAGCATCTGGCTTGAGGCTCTGAAGAAGCCTAGAAAAGGGTTCTGTGTACCATTCTGCATGCAGTTGTTAGTGAAATATTGGAACTGTATTAAATTAGAAGCCCAAAATAATGTATTTAATGATCATATTGTGCAGTTATGGTTGTCACTTTACTTTTATAACTACACCATTACATTTTATGTGATGAAACATTTCTTTCACCCTTGTTCTTCTTTGCCTTTATCACGTCTGTTCTTTATCTTCTTTATCAGCTTCACTGCTTTGTTCACTGCCCTTTTCCCATCTCTAATTTGTTCATCCTATAATCATTCCTCACCCTATATCCTAGCAACCGCAGACGGTGGTTTATCCTCTCTTATATATCATAGCAAAGGAATGCTGGCTTTTCTGTGAATGTGAAGGGCACTGGCTATAATTTGTAGGTCTATATAGATTTTCAGTTTTCCTTCTGTTAATAAAAAAGTGAACAAATTTCTCGCCCAAGATGGAGGCAGTATGTTCCTTGGCAACATAGGGCTTTCTCCAAACTATACAGTATTGCAGCAAAAAGACCATACTCCTCATAGTCACACCACCACTGTGAGAACCTCAAATTCAACATTCAAACTTGTGAGTTGGGCGCAACAAGTGCCATGTACTTTATGATCCTGCAGTGATGTGTGGTAGTACGTCTCAGAGAAACATGTAACTATCGTTGAGTTAAAACTTTTGTAGACTCTAAATTAAGAATATACCAGCTGTGCAGTAATTTTCGTTGTTTTTCAGTCTGATGGTTATAACTAAGGCAATGTTGATTCTGAGCTTGTGAAGTTTAGTACAGAGTTCAATCATAAATGTACCTATACATTGTGTATGAAATGTTTCTTGGAAGTTAACAATTACTGACATGGCAATTGTGTAAGACTTTGAGGTTGTATCTGACAAATTTAACATTTACAGAATCTGTATTTAAGTAGTAAATTAACAATAAAATAAGAATAATAGTAGTAGTAGATCTGTATGATTAGAAAAGCATGGAGTAAGAAAGTAGCTTTATGATTTCTGATTGTAACTCTGATTGCATCCCCATCTTCAGTCGTATTATGTTGTGTTAATTTATTTGACATGTGCAGAGCTAATTTGAGAATTATCATTTAAATGTGCTTCAGCTTCTCTCACACTCTGATGAACTTGTTTGACCTTACAGGCAGAAAGTATTAGGAGGATTCAGTGAAATCTTACGAACAATTCCTGGTCTCTCAGAGGAATGGATTACTAACTGTCGGCCATGCTCTCCTCGAGTTTTGTTCTTGTTTGAGTCTTGTCCTGCAATATATCTTGAAGGTAGAGCAAATGTCGCAAGAACAGGGTCAGGTGAGTTGGTGATTGTATGAATGCAGCAGCTCAGTGTGAGGGATATGTATGGTACAGTGAATCTGATACTCCCTCTGAGTATTGAATGAGAGACTTTATAGTGACTGGGTTGCTACTTATCCTCATGCCCAAACTGTCTGTTCTGACATCTTCCATCCTTGCTCTTTAACCAGCCAAGTGCTAGCCTCCCTTCAGCTTGATTTCTAAGCTATCAAACATCCAAATGCACACTCAAATAAAAGTTATAATGCTGTAACATGTACAGCCATTACTATGCAATGATCATGGGATAGACAAATGAACAACAGTGTTATGCAACCCGTTTCCAGGCAACAGATTAGTATACATGTTCCCGTGGCAATGAGTAAGCATGCAACAATAGAGTTAACCGTTCAGCGTGGTTTGATGTGTATGTTTCGTCAGGTATTTAAATCGTCTGCGGGGGTTCGACGTCTATGTTTCGTCCAGCTGCACACCTATGTTATAACGCCCATAATAATTGATGGTTTTGCTGTAGATTGTTAGATTTTTCTCTGGCCTGTTGTCAGAAGTTCTATATATAATGGGACACGAGTTTAGCTGCGTTAAGTCATCGTTACATATGCCTGTCTTGCAGCAAAACCGTGTTGCTCTTGGAAGAGATTTCCTCATTCAAACTGTTATGGATGGCGTGTTTTCTTTCCTATGAAGTTATAAACAGCAGAGACGTGATATGTGCTGTGTTTATAATATCATATTGCCCTGAGCTGGCCACACTAACACACTCAATTGGAATTCTTAGAAGAGGGATGTCCAAATTTTATTCTTGCAAGATCGATTGATTTCGCACAGTACATAGCAGCCAGTTCTTAGAAAAACG